TGGGCAATCTACTTAACATAGTAATACCACTTCAGAAACCCAAGGAGGGGTCGCTATGAGTCGGATCCGACTTGACGGCAGTGTGTTTGGTTTTGGTTTTTGGTCAATTGTTCATATCAAAGAATGGCTGGAGAGGAGGAAGAGGCCCAGTGATGATGGTGAGGGGTTTCCCTCACCCTCTGAGCTATTTTTCATCACCTTCCCTGGTGGAGGCAGCTTCCAGTGCCTAGAAAATGCCCATGGAGTTAAAGATAGAACAAAATGTGCCACCTACAGCTACATCTCTCTCTACCTGAAGACATTTGAAATGAAAGGCCTTTCATAGTGAAAGGCCTTGTTCTGTCTAGGGTGAGTAGGCATCCTGAGCTGACATTCCACTTGGAATTTTTGGATGGATGTGCATCATGGCAACCCTCTCAGGAACCTTTGCCTGTGGCTAGAGGATACTGTGGAGTTGCACTTCCACTGCTTAGGAAGACTAGCTAAAATATTGTAAAGTGATATAGATAAACAAGTTGCTGGTTGGCCTGTAGGTCAAGTCCCAGCTTCTTTGAGCTGACTAGTTGTTGACCAGTCACTTAACTGCTCAGCTTCAGCTAACTCAACTGTAAAGTACAGACAATAACAATAATGCCTATGCCAGCCTCCTGGGCTTGGTGAGTGTCAAACATGATGATAATGTATTTGAAAGTGTATTATAAACTATAAAGTATTTTACAAGTGTGAGTTGTTAGTTTTATTCTCTTGAGGCCTTTAAAGTGATTAATTAGAACAATATTATCAGAAGAAACATGGTTTATTAGGTTACAAATAAAAGAATTGGGGTTAACAAGGGGAGGAGTGCTGTGGAAGTAGATATTATTCTAGATTTTCAATCACATATGGTTATTAGAATTATTTTTAATTTTATGGCCTAAGAATCCCTTTTTTCTATAGAATTTAATTAACTCAAGCAAATCCAACAGAATGAAATAACAATCTTATGTTTTATGCCTCTGCATGTTTTTCTCGTTTAATCCTTAAGTGAAAATCGTGTGGCAAGAGGAAAGTCTATATCTCAAGAGTGAAGGTTATTTTAAAAGTTGTGCTTAAGAAGAAAATTAGCCAATAAATTATATTTATGATGTTAGTAAAAGTGTGCCATGAGTCCAACACATTTGAGATGTAAATTGTATGACTTAATTATTAACTTCATTTTAATATTTTCCTAACACTGAAAATAGTTGTGGGCCATTTTATAAGTGTTGAGTTCCAATCACGAGGCAGCCCCGAAGCTCTGTTTGAATTGATTAAATGGAATTATTCCTTTTATGAATTGGGAGAGGCTTTAAAGGACTGGTGTAGTTTCACCAAATAACATAAAAAGAACCTTGTTGGTAGATGTCACAGTTAACATTATAAAGGAGCTATACCTAAGAAAAACACTGGTTTAGGGACCAGCCAGGTTTGGTGAGAACACCTGAAGGCTGACCGACTCATTACCATTAGGCAGCTGGACTGTGATCAGTAAGAGATAGTAAGTTAGTAATGAGTTGACAAAAAAATGTGAAATAACACACAAGTCCCACCATGGCTTTGCCCCTGCCCACCTCACCAGCCACCTCTCCTGTTCTTCTCTTCCCCCTTACACACTGCTCACACCACACTGCTTAGAGCTTACCTACCCTGGGTGGCACAAATGATTAAGCACTCAGCTATTGGCAGGCAGTTTGAACACACCCTGAAGCACCTCATAGGAAAGGGCTGGCAATCTGCTTTTGAAAAATCAAGGCTTTGACAACCCTGTGGACCAGTTCTGCTCTACCAACTGGGGTTGCCATGACTTGGAATCAAGTCAGTGGCAACTGGTTTGAGAGTTGTTTTTGTCATTTTACCCATGCTGTTCGGCACCTCTATTCTTTGGCTTATATAGTTTCATCTGCTGGGATTGTCCTTCCTCCTCTCTGTTGCCTTCAGAATTTAGATCAGCCATTTCCTTTAGAAAGGCTTCATTGAACTTGTCCCCAGGAGCTTGTTAAGTACTCCCACAGCACCCACAGAGACCTCTTTTGCCGTTCCTGCTGCATTACATTGAAACTCTTTGTATCTGTAGATTTCCTAGAATCTCTAGGTGGTGCAAACCATTAATGTGCTTGGCTATTAACTAAAAGGTTGGAAGTTCAAGTCTACCCAGAGTCACCTTGGAAGACAGGCCTGACATTCTACTTCCAAATAACTAGCCATTGAAAGAAAATCCTCCAGAGCACAGTTCTGCTCTGACACATACAGGGTCACCTCGGCAGTAGATTGCCTCACCAGACCGTGAGCTCCCTGAGGGCTGGAACTTTGCATTTTTCATCATTATGTTTCTAGTCCCCAGCACAATGCCTAGCATCTAAATGTTGGGAAGGAAATTAATATTTATAGGGTACTATATGGTCTTATTGTTGTTTGCCATCGAGTCAGACCCGACTCATAGTGACTCCTCCTTGGGTTTCTGAGGCAGTATCAGTATGGAAGTAGATTGCCCAACCTTCCTTCTGAGGAGTGGCTGGTGGGTTTGAACTGGCACTTGACTGCTAACCAGAAGACTGGCGGTTCAAACCCCCCAGCCACTCTTTGGGAAGGAAGGTTGAGCAATCTACTTCCGTAGAGATACTGCCTCGGAAACCCAAGGAGGGGTTGCTGTGAGTCGGGTCTGACTCGACGGCACATAACAACAACAAATATGGTCCTAAGGAGCTCTGGTGGTGTAGTGCCTAAGGCATTTGACTGCTAACCAGAAGGGTGGTGGTTCAAACCCACCAGCCACTCCACGGAAGGAAGACTGGGCAATCTCCTTCCGTAAAGATTTACCACCTCAGAAACCCAAAGGGGGTCACTAGGGGTCGCTATGAGTTGGGATGGCTTGATGGCAGTGAGTTTGGTTTGGTTTTTTATTTGGTCCTACTGTGTGCCACAGGGCACTGGTGGTTCAGTGGTAGGATTCCCCCTTCCTAGGTTTGGTTCTTGGCTGGTGCTCCTCAAGCACAGCCACCACCCATTGGCCAGTGGAGACTTGTGTTGCTGTCATGCTAAAAGTTTTCAGCAGAACTTCCAGACTAAGACATACTAGGAAGAAGGGCTGGCTCTACTTCCAAAAATTAACCAGTGAAAACTCTGTGGATTGCAGTGGTCTGATCCCACTGTGCATGAAGTCCCCACACGTTTGGGGCTGACTCAGTGGAAGCTAACAACACCAACTGTATAGCAGGCACCACTGAACCGAACGAACCGAACTCACTGCCGCGGAGTCGGATCCGACTCATAGCGACCCCTATCACTGTGGAAGTAGATTGCTTAATCTTCCTTCCAAGGAGTGGCTGGTGGGTTTGAACCTCCAGCTTTCTGGTTAGCAGTCAAATGCCTTAGGCACCACTAGTCAATCTGAAAGCTTAATAGAAAGAATTGAAAGTGAGTTAACAAGGCTAAGCTTCTTTCCTTTCAGCAAAAAGCCTTTTGTGCCTTTGTTAAAAAGTCAGACCTAGGCTGATTTCAGGAACCCTGGTGGCACAATGCTTAAGCGTTCAGCTGCTAACGAAAGGTTGGCAGTTCGAACTCACCAGCAACTCCGTGGAAGAAAAGACCTAGCAATCTGCTCTCATAATGATTACAGCTTAGGAAACCCTATGGGGCAATTTTACTCTGTCCTACAGGGTTGCTGTTCGTTTCAATCAACATGACAGCACCCAACAAGAACAAACTGACTTTGAAGAAAAGTCGTGCTGTTAATTTTGTCAACAGATCTACAAAGGAGATACTGTGTTCTCCGCTCTGCAGATGAGGGAAGTGCAGCTCTGAGCAGTTGCATTTGGAAGTGGTAGAGCCCAAGTACATGCCCAGGTGTGGACCCTTTCTGACCCTTTCTTGTCAGTGGAAAGGAACATTCCTTTCTTTGTGCAAATCATCGAGATCCAGCCATGGCCTGGTTAAAACAGAGTTTAAGTGCAAACTCTCCCTGTCCTTTGTATTAAGTGATGCTTTTCTGTCCCCCAACTTAGAAGCTCTCATTTAAAATCTGAAGATGGAGGTAGAGTGAATTTTCCTCAGCGGACTGGTTTGTGCAAAGCATGTGACGATAGATTTCTCATCATTAAGTCAGGCCATGTGGTTCCTGCCCATAGACTCCCCATGGTCTCTGAAGCTGGAAGTGTATGCAGATTAATTTCTAAGTATATCTTAAAGGATTTCTTCAGCTGATATGGCTGGCCTTGCCCCAACACTCTCATATGATGGATGGGGATAGAGATGAGACAGTGTCTGCAGTGATGGAGTTCCTAGGAGTGATTGATAGTATATGTACTGGGCTGTTTCTTTTGCCCTTCCTGGTATTAAATACTATGAGTTGTTTTTTTTTTTATTTTTTCCCCCTCCAACCAGTTTTATCTAAAGATAGACTGTTTCAGGGGCTACAATTTATGACATGCTCCACATGCAAAATTTCCAACCCTGCCCTGGGTGCCCTTGATATGACCTCTATGCAACTCAGTTTATTTGTCTGTAAAAATGGGGATGATGAGTCCCCTCTCTCAGGGTTAGTATTATTGGGAGCATTGGCTGAGAAGTGATCATGAAGTCTTATCTTACTGTACTTAGCACATGGAGGCATTTTGTATGTGTTCATACACTCCTGAAAGAAAACAAATCATGGGTTGCTTTCCCACATTTATATCCTGGGGCACTGATGGCATGTGATGGTAAATAAGTGTGAATTGCTATTATTATTATTGCTTATGGAGGTGGCTGATGGGCTGATCTCCCTGACTCAGCCCTGAAAAACGTCCCCAGAAGAAATGATTCTGGTCCAGTCTGATGTGTTGTTTTTGGGATAAGGAAGTATGGTAATGACCAACTGGGTTCATTGTTTGTATAGCCATGATGAAAAAGGGAAACATTTACCCTCGTGTCATGCTATTCTTGAAGCAGTGTCCAGTAGCATCAGCTTTCCTTGTGATTATGTGGTTCTCTTTTTGTCTTTTCAGGCTGTGACCCAATTAGAACTTTTTGGGGACATGTCAACCCCTCCTGATATAACTTCTCCCCCCGTAAGTATGCACTCCCTTCTGAGCCCTGCCTCCCCTCCCCGTCTTTCCTTAATCTCATAGTGGAGAGAATATGGATTTTGTATTAAAGAGGCCAGCTAGTGAATTTCACCTCTGACTCTTTCAAACTGTGTAACTTAGGCCAGTTAAATAGCAATCCTAAACCTCAATTTTCTCTGCTATTAAAAAAATAGAGGGGAGTTATAATATATACTTCTGTTTTGAGACATAAATGAGACCATGCATTCAGCAATTAGTTGGGAAATATAAGGAAGATATGCAACATGACAACAAACACGATGAGGCATTTGTCATCACCTACCCAGAGCCTGGCACACGAGAAGTCGAAGTCGGTGGGCAGCCCAGTCAAAGAAGTATTTTCTCCTCTACCCCTTTCTGCCCTTCCCACATCCTGCTTACCTTCTTTTCTTCCCCAACCCCATTCCTTTTCATTGCCTTCCTCCCTTCCAGCATGCCCCCTAGATTCCCAGACCATGACCTTGTCTCACCAAGCTACTCTGTTTTGTTTGGTTTGGGTTTTGTTGTGTTTTAACTTTGTATTGTGATTTGGGTAGACGTTTACAGAGCAAATCGGTTTTCCATTCAGCAATTCATACACATTTTGTGACATTGATTGGAGTCCCCACAATGTAACAACACTCTTCCTGCTTCTTCCCTGTGTTTACCGTTTCCGTTCATCCTGTTTCCCTATCCCTTCCTGCCTACTGAGCCTTATCCCTGGGCAAGCTCTTCTGATCTCCTTTGCTTGATTAAGGAATGCCTACCTCCCTGGTTGTACTGTTCATGTCATAGGCCTCCCTATTGCTTGGTTGAAAGTTAAGCCCCTGGGGTGTGTTCAATTCTGGCTTGAAGGCTGACTAAGCACCACAGTCTCAGAGTTCCGCCAGTTTCTGTCAGACAAGTTGTTGTTATTTGCCATTGAGTCAGACCCATCTCATAGCGACCCCTTCTTGGGTTTCCGAGGCAGTATCACTACGAAAGTAGATTGCCCCATCTTCCTTCCAAAGAGTGGCTGGTGGGGTTGAACCTCCAGCCTTCTGGTTAGCAGTCAAGTGCCTTAGGCACTTTGCTACCAGAGCTCCTGTCAGACAAGTAATTTTTATGTTTTAAGTTTTGTTCCACATTTTCCTCCCACTCTGCCCAGGTCCTTCCATTGTGATCCCTTTCACAGCAGTTAGCAATGGTAACTGAGCACCATTTCACCCAGCTACTCTTGAAGCTTTGGATTCCCAGCCACACAGTTCTAGCCAGGGCACCTCCCTCAATTCATAGAAGAGATTTTAGGGAGCCCTAATTTGAAAATGAAAAGAAGAAAACAGAATCAAAACCAAACCAAACAACATCCCAATGCTTTGAGAGCGGCATGCATTCAAAGGCAACCCTTGCAACCACTGCAAAGAAAAGAGGCGAGCTGGCCCTGCCGCCCCCTCCCTGCCCATTCCTGGAGGTGGGCGGAGAGCAGTCAGCCGCAGCTGCACCAGCTGAAGCTGCTGGGAGGGGGCGGCTCCTCTGGGCACTCTGTAATTGTGCAAACCGAGGGATGGTGCTATGGTTCATTGGCAAGATGTGCTTCAGAGAGAAAAGGCTGTAACCTTACCACGGAGGACAGATGGCACAAGACCCTGCTGCCCACAGCTGCCAACAGGGAATCTGGACACAGCTGCTTTGTTCCCAGCACCTGATGCCCAGAGCAGCTGGGAGGGAGGGGACAGCAGCATCTTTCCCCAGGGAAGCTGGACACCTCTAGTGAGTCTCATTCTTTCCTCCATCCCAGGAGTAAGAGCTTCATCCTAAGCACTTGGAATCTAAGAACACAGGGCTAGGGAGCTGGAATGATCTGAAGAGATCTTCAAAACTTATCTCCTTCATTTTATAGATGAGCAAACTGAGTCCCACAAAGGGTACATGACTGACCCAAGGTCACATAGGGGAAAAGAGAACAGCACTGACCTGACTTGTATTTAAAAGTGCTTAACACAGCAGCTTATGGCTATATTTCTGGCCCTGAACCCAAGCGCAGCCCAAATGGGTATTTAATAATCCTTAGAACAATGCCATTCATCCCACAAGCTGCTAATCTAAAAATGGCCTTGTCTAATTGCCGTGGTTTGAGGATTAATTGCTTGCCCCAGTCTCTTCCAAGGGAAAAAATATAAGGATATTATGGTATCGAGTAAATTTATTCTCTATAGACAAAAGATTACTGTAAACACACGTGGACATTAAAAAAAAAAAAAAAACTAGTACTAATGTTTTTACTTCAGTACTCCTCACCTTAACCACTAGGTCATGCAGCAACCCTTTCGGGAATTCCAGCACAAGTCAGGAACTGTAGAATTTTCAGCTGCTTAGGCATTATTTTTTGTTGTCTTCTTAAATACTTAGTTCTTTTTGCAAGTGAAAACTCAGGCAAAATTCTGGGAGGCTCCAGGATACGAGTGTCTATACTCCAGTTGCTAAGCATGGTTTGTTCATTTAGACAGCTTCTGTTTATTGATTGTAGTTTAAATGGCGACCCCTGAGGTGGGCACACAGTTCAGAGTGAGTGTATGCCAATTTGAATTGGCCATTTCTAACAGGTGAAAGCCAGATATTATGGAATTGTTCAATGACCTGAAAACACTCTCCAAGAGATAGGGGCTTAAACTAAACAATTATGATCCTGTTGTTGTTATGTGCTGTTGAGTCGGACCCAACTCATAGCAACTCCTCCCTGGGTTTCCAAGACAGTATCACTGGAGAAGTTGATTGCCCCTTCCTCCTTCTGAGGAGTTGCTGGCGGGTTTGAACTGCCAGCCTTCTGGTTAGCAGTTAAGTGACTTAGGCACTATGCTACCAGAGCCCCCATCATGATCCTGTTGTTGTTGTTGTTGTTATGTGCCTAGCCTTACTTTATTGAGCACTCATGAGCCTAAACCTGGTGCTGAATCAGTTAAGTGTGTGATCAGATTTAACCTTCACAGCAGGTCTATAGTGTAGGTATCATTTTCCCCATTCTATAAATAAAGGTCTAAACACTGTATAAGTGGCCTATTCTGTGGCCCACTTCTTCACTGCCCCTTCCCCTCTTAATTGCTACACCTGCTGCCTCCCATGCTTGCTAACTACTGAGCCAGGTCTCCCTCATGAGTCCTTTTCTTTCTGTCTGACAGACTCCTGCAACTCCAGGTGATGCCTTTATTCCATCTTCATCTCAGACACTTCCAGCGAGTGCAGACATGTTTAGTTCTGTACCTTTTGGCACTGCTGCTGTACCCTCAGGTAAGTGCTCTTTAGCCAACTTCCCTTTCTTTGACCTCCACTCATTGAGAGGAATGATTGACTGAACCTGCTGCCAGTATATACCAGCACACCCAGGGAACCTCCAGTCCTTCTGACTTTTGAGGTAACATTGAAAAGCTGTTACGGGGTACAGAGCTCTGCTATGCTGCTGACTGGAATGCAGTCCTCTCCTGGAAAGTTCAAGATTCCTGGCTTCTCAGATACATAATTTTGGAGTTTGATGTACACACAGCCTGCCTGGAAATCAGGACAAGTTAATTTCCTCCTTCCACCTCAGCCAGAATGAGGAGAAGATAGCAAACTGAGGTAGGGATGGGAGTCCACAGACCTCTTGAGACCTGATGAATAGAAGATATCTGCCTCACTCGGGCTGACTCAAGCAGTAGGAGGTTCCTCATACATGGGGGGACCCTAAGGGATGATAGTGAACTGCTAACAATGAATTATGAAGGGGATGAGGTGCTTGGTGATTTACAGAATATTTTTTCTGATTTCTAGATATTCTTTGAAACATATATACTACATGTACAACAGTGGGAAATGTATATATTACCCAACAATATTCCAGATGAGTTAGAAATTGGTAGAATACTAGGCATCCTAAGTTTTTTTCCAAGGCTGAAAGCCTTCCATGTAGGTGGATCACTTTTAACTTGAAAATGAAAATTTTGGTATTAAACCCATTGCCATCAAGTCAGCTTGAACTCATAGCAACCTCATGCATTATGCAATAGAACAGGTTTTTCTTGTCTATAATCTTTTCAGAAGTAGATCACCAGGCCTTTCTTTCGTGGCACCACTGGGTGGGTTTGAATTGCCACCCTTCAGATGAGTAGCCAGGAGCAAACCTTTTGTATCATCCAGGGACCTAAGGTGGCATTCGTTCTGATTTTTTATACATATAATAGCCTTTGAACATATATTCTAATTATGCAACAGGGGAAAATATATATATTACAACATTATTTCAGGTGAGTTAGAAACTGGTAGAATACCAGGCATCTTGTTTCCAAGGCAGAAAGCCCTCCATATAGCTATGTCACTCTTGAAAATGACCGAAGGTGATATTAAACCAAAAACCAAACCAGGTGTCATCAAGTTGATTTCAACTCATAGCGACCTTACCTGTTACAGAATAGAACTGCTTCATGGGTCTTCCCTGTCTATAATCTTTATAGGGAGCCTTGGTAATGTAGTGCCCAAGGCACTTGACTGCTAACCAGAAGGCTGGCAGTTCAAACCCACCAGCCACTCCTCGGAAGGAAAGTTGGACAGTCTACTCCCATAGAGATACCACCTTGGAAACCCAAGGAAGGGTTGCTATGAGTCAGGTCTGACTCGATGGCACATAACGACAACATAGACAGTATAACAAAGCAGGTTTCAGTTTATCATAAGGCCTTAAAAGAAAAATTATTTGATTATATATAATCTCTATTTAGGGAGCCCTGGTGGTGTAGTGCCTAAGGCACTTGACTGCTAACCAGGAGGCTGTGGTTCAAATCCACCAGCCACTCCTCAGAAGGAAGTTTGGGCAATCTACTTCCATAGTGATACCACCTCAGAAACCTAAAGGAGGGGTCTCTTTGAGTCAGGTCCGACTTGACGGCACATAACAATAACAACAGCATGATCTTTCAGAAGTAGCTTGCCAGGCCTTTCTTTCATGACACCACTGAGTGGGTTCAAATTGCCAAACTTTAGATGGGCAGTCAAGAACAAACCTTTCACAGCACCCAGGAACCTAGGTCCTACATTCTGCTTTTTATACACATAGAAGCCTTAGACAGTGGTAGGTTTTTTTTTTTTTTCTTCTGTCTTTAACTTATTTGAAAGCTGTGGTTTCATCTTTATTTCTCTATTCTATTTTTATAAATGGCAAATAGAGATTGAATATTTTAGAATACAAATCTTCTTGTGTTTTTTTCTATAAATAATTGCTTTTAATTACATAGTATTAGAAGCAAATTCTTGCCACCAAATATAAACCTTGCTTTTATTCAAAGTAAATTAAAAATTCATACCCTGTTCTGAAATAGTTATAGTTATTCTTCATGAGCCAAAGGATCATTTTGAACTTTTAAAAGGAACAGAGCTTGGCAGCCACTGACTCTAACTTACAGTTTACAATCTGCAGGGAGCCCAGAAATTTATGTAATTGCTAAATTAAATGCTTCTCAATTCAATCTGTTTCCCCATCTCTAAAATGGGATGGTAGTGATGACTCATTTCCCTTATCTAAAAGATATATTAAAGCCTCCTTGGGAATTGTGTAATAATATTGTCATTTTAAGTAAGAATAACTATTTTTCATCAGAAATACACTACCATTCTGTGCTGTTAGTCTTGTGAATATCCATGCTTTGAACCTATTACTGAATCAATAAAAATATGCTAGAGTTAATGGAATGCTATGCAGCACTAAAGAATAATGTAGACTCTGCAAAACACTGCATAATATGGATGAACTTGGAAGACCTTATGCTGAGTGAAATAAGTCAATCACAGAAGGACAAAAATAGTATTAGTTAATTGTTGTGGAGGGTCAAAGAAAGATTTATATATGGAGAGAAACTTACTTTATTGGTTGCCAGGGGTGAGAGGTAGGGAGAGGGAACACTCCAAAAAAAAAAATAAAAATAAAAATACATTGACCCATGTCACTTAAGTTTTGTGTATTTCACTGTACATAAATTATATTTCAATAAAATGCATTTAAAAAATATGCTAGAGTAGATGATGTGGTAGCATAGTGGCTAAAGCACTTGACTGCTAACCAGAAGGCTGGCGGTTCAAACCCACCAGCCACTCCTTGGAAGGAAGGTTCGGCAATCCTA